GTAAGCATTAGAAAATATACTTATGAATTATATGGTGTCTGTACACATGTATGTGTGATGAAAAAAGTTATCGCGAATATAGAAGTTTTAGAAACATTTCATCAGATGCCCTAAAACCTCGCTAATCCATTTTTATTTGTCTTATGATTGTTTTTATGATGTGTGCACGCTCTTGTCACCTGTTATCTCATCTGGTTTTTACACCTTTACCTGCAGCAATGAACGCAACGAACGTCTTAAACCTCCAAACTTCTGTTCATATTTCCTCTAATCTAATGCATATTAGATACATTTCATTACCTGGTTCAAATAACTGAATGAATACTATTTGTCTGCGTTGTTCCCCCCTGCCCGCTAGTCTGCATTTGGTTGGGACAAATGCCATACATGGGACATAATTAATTTAGTGTCTGTCTCAGTACTATCGGGTGGGATTAAAGCTGTTTTTGTCCCCGAAACAAATTATTCTTTTTATAAGTGTAGTTGAAGCAATCTTAAACGTAGGTATTTGTCTTGAAGCCTACCCCGTTTGACACTAATGACTATATCACTTCTGTTTACATCCTCATGACTGACTTACTACCACTCATTTGTGATATGGCAGTAGTATTTTAAAACAAACAGTATCCCATTCAACACAATTAAGTCACAATTGGATACATCAAGCTTTTTTGTTTTTACAATAGATATTTCACAATTATCATCAGGTGCCCTGCCGACTGGCGTTGGCGATCATGCCTTTCCACAATCTGCGATCTCCTGCAGTATGTGTCAGTTCGTGTGCCGACACACCTCCATGCCATGCAACAAGACTGTCAAGAATCTTCTCTCTTTGTCTTCCTCTATCCCTCCTTCCACAAATCTTTCCAGTGGTCACAACATGTTCTATTTTCCCGCTTCTCATAACAATGCCGAAAAACGATGACTGTCTCCTTCTGATGTCTGTGATAAGTTGTTTTCGGGCTCCCGCCTCTTTCAGAACCTCTTGGTGCTCTTTTTGGCTGTCCAAGGTATTCTAAGCATTCTTCTGTAAAACCACTTCTCTAAGGCCTCAAGAAATTGTTTGGCCTGCCTACTGATTGTCTATTGTTCAAAGCCATATTTAAAACTGGATGTATGTAGCAAACATGAATTCTTTTTCTAACTAACTGGATATTTATGATTACTATTATCTTTGGTTATTTAATATTGCATAGCTTATTTATTAATTGAATACGATTTTATTAGCCTAGACTGTCGATTTCAATATATTTTAAGCGTACTTTCACATACTTATACTAATTATATACTGCTAAATCTATGTATGCTGATATTTCAAGTGCTCTGTGTTAACATCATTGTGCTATGTCGACATTCTTCCATACCATGACGTCACACTGTCTAGAGTCCTCTCAGGCTGGTTTAAGTCTGACTCAGTCTCTCTCCATTTTCTCTTGTGTTTTTACGAAGTACTCCAACCCCTCCCCCCCCCCTCCTTACGATTTGTCTAAGCTGCTCATAGAGTGGACTGTTCACTTTTGATGTAGGTAACCAATTCTCTTTTTGGAGTTAATTCTTTGAAAACATATGTCCATGGTGCTATCTAAGTTCCTACACATACAACACGTCTACAGCTTCCAATTAAGTTCTCTCTATTCTGCGAGTCACTAAAGCCCACCTGTATTTAGATCTATATAGTTCTTTACAACTCATTTTCTCCCTCATTTGGCACAGATACAGCTTTTGATTGGACCAGTTTACTTTCAACTTTAGTTCATCTTCCGCAGTGACGTCATGGTAACTTGATCTTTGATTGATTATTCATAAATACATTTTAGCAGTACAATTTATAGGAACTGCAGTAACCTAGTAACTAGCCAACTGCTTAAGTGAAGCACGATCAAAATGATCCGTGATTAAGGACATTTTTAGAGTGACCACCTAACCACAGGTTGGGGGCAGCTCTAAATATAAGTCAGTAAAGTAAATGACTCGTTTCCACACCTTCGGGGGTATTTGGCATATAGGGCAAGACCATATTTTTTTAGACCACTTGGTGAGTGATGAGGTCAACATCAGGCCGACCGTCTTTACTTCCCAGGACTTTATCTGGTGCCCATTTAGAGCTAGGTCGACCTTTACTTGAAAAAATACCAGGCCTCCGTCAGGACCTGAGCCCACTACCTTCGGACCCTCAGGCGAGCATCTAGTCGCTAAAATACACATATCTTGTGTTCTACCCTTTAGTTTATAACCGTCTTTCATTTTTTGTTGTTGCCATAATGATTACCCTGTTCAACCTAAAATAATGTTATAACTGAGATCGTAAGTTATGTGAGGATTTTGGTAACAATCATATATCTGTATTTGTGACACCACCTATCTTCATTTCCCCTTTCAAGTTGAGGGGGGGGGGGATGGGGGGGGGGGGGGGGGGGAGCTGAGTGGTCTCGAGGCATAGCGCACCGTCTCAAAAGCTGGAGGTCCCGGGTTCAGGTCCCTGGGAAGGCTGGGTTTTTTCACGTGGACTTCTAGTAATTTTTCCTTGGTTTCTGGGTAGCAGGATCTGACGCCCGTGTGTATTGTTGCGCACGTAAAAATTTCCTTGGCAGTTAGAAGACGAAAAGTGTAGCGTCACGGGGCTGCTCGGGCAAAATTTGGAGGTAAAAATCTACGCAAAGTATTTCAGGATCATCGCCGGTGTTACAGAGTTCGTGCACTGCGCGGAGATTCTTCTAACTCAATCTTGGGTTAGAAGTTGAAACGAGTATTTATGGGTTATTACTAGGACTGTACCGAATAGAGATTTTCACTATTCGGCCGAATACGAATAGTGTATCATCATCATCAGGTGCCTTGCAGACTGGCATGGGTGAATATGCCTGGGCACAATCTGCGATCTCCTGCAGCATGTTTTAGTTCGTGTGCTGACACACCTCTATGCCATGCAACAAGACTGTCAAGAATCTTCCCTCGTTGTCTTCCTCTATCCCTCCTTCCACAGATCTTTCCAGTGGTCACAACATGTTTCATTTTCCCTCTTCTCATAACATGGCCGACAAATGATGACTGTCTCCTTCTGATGTCTGTGATTAGTTTTCTTCGGGCTCCCGCAATTTTCAAAACCTCTTAGTTGTTTTTTTGTTTGTTGTTGTTGTTGCTGTCCATGTTATTTTAAGCATTGTTATGTAAAACCACATCTCTGAGGCCTCAAGAAATTGTTTGGCCTGCCTACCGATTGCCAATGACTCGCAACACATTACCTTTAAATTTAAGTGCTTACTTGACGAGGGTAACAGTGACTATTGTACAGACCACATTTTCCACTTTAAATGTCAGCCAAAATGTAATCACAACCTTACTTATCCCCTGTACCCTTACGGATACAGATGTAAGATCAGTCGCACCTCGAAATAAATACAAAGACAATTTTTAGCACGTTGTGGTTGGCATTTAATGCAGTATGATACATTTTGAATGTGAAACAAGGAAAAAAAAAAACTCTTTTCGACAGTGGCGAGGAAAGACAATTTAAATTTTAACTTGTAAGTATAATTTTTGTTTTTCCTCGTAAATTGGTAGTTTTATGCAAATATCTTTTTTTGACCTTATATTTTGATAAGCGATGAACACGGACTGGGTTCAAGAGTGTCCCACGTGACTTCGCAGTACCTTTAAGTGTGAACTCTATCCCTGATTCAACTCGTGTTCGAGTATATCCAACAGTACCGTTGAGGGTATACACACCCATTTAGAGAGAAATATATATATATATATATATATATATATATATATATATATATATATATATATATATATATATATATATATATATTAAAATTCTTTTTTTAACACAAGACATTTTTTGATTTCTTTAATCCTGTGGTATCTTGCGCAAATGAGTTTTAAGTACATACACTTTTTTAGTGCGTTTAAATACCACCCAAACATCTTCCCAACCCAAGCATCTTCCCAACCCAAGCATCTTCCCAACCCAAGCATCTTCCTAACCCAAGCATCTTCCCAACCCAAGCATCTTTCCAACCCAAGCATCTTCCTAACACAAGCATCTTCCTAACCCAAGCATCTTCCCAACCCAAGCATCTTCCTAACACAAGCATCTTCCCAACCCAAACATCTTCCTAACACAAGCATCTTCCTAACCCAAGCATCTTCCCAACCCAAGCATCTTCCTAACCCAAGCATCTTCCCAACCCAAACATCTTCCCAACCCAAGCATCTACCCAACCCAAGTATCTTCCCAACCCAAACATCTTCCTAACCCAAGCATCTTCCCAACCCAAACATCTTCCCAACCCAAGCATCTTCCCAACTCAAGCATCTTCCCAACCCAAGCATCTTCAAGAGCGCCAGTGATGCAAATCAGTTCTGATCCAGGAAATAAAGTATCGATCATTTTAAATATTGAAAGTTACTGGTACCATTGGAACTGGAACTCTTCGCTTACCGCTGAAGATGGGGACGAAGCGCGTGTGGGAGTGTCGAGAGTTCGGTGAGGTCGATTTTTAATTTAACATTTAACATTCGAATATTGAAAATGATAATGTATCCCATGTATGTAGGTAAACAACTATGCGAATTGAGTATACGCGGATAAAAAATGGAGACGTTTTAATTTACACTTGTGAGGGTGTGTATCATTTCAGGGTTTCACAACTTTAAACAAATCGATGTCCTCGACAAATATAAAGGCTGCACTTTTTCTACGTATTAATTGGTGTTTATTTCTACTTCCAGTGTTCACCTATGTTTGTAGTTGATGAGTGTTTACAGTCAAAGAATATCTTTTGTTTGAAACGCTTAAAGTAAATACTACTTTACTGCGAATGGTTGTAATTGTGTTAGTCTTATAAAAATGTCGCGTCAAGTTTCGTTCTTTGTGATGTTGGAAATATTCTTTTGTGATCACAGTGCCCGAGTTTATTGTTCCTGCTAAAAGAATTTCGCATAATTATTAAAAGCGTTCTAGTTTAAATAATTATACTCATACACCATTAAAA